TACTCTCTCAAATACCTTCTATCGTTTCTAGTTCGTACTTTCAAAAACCCTTTCATCTTTCTCAAAACTTGTGTGAACAATGGCTTCTTCAAGCGTCCCAAAAATCAGTACCCATGAATCTGCTTCTATGGAATAGTACGAAGAGCCTTACAGAACGCTACTCACTCCCATTGATAATCTGGAAGTTCTTTCAGAAATGATTATTTACTTTGAGAGCTTACAAGAAAACGGCTTCAATCTGTATGAAGACGTCAATGCTCAAGGTTGGAACAGATACTTTGACCGTCTTCTAGGGCCAACATTTCCAATTCTTGTCAAAAAATTCTGGATACATGCTTCTTCCTCAAATCATCAAGTCACCTCTTATGTCATGGGGAAGAAAATTGTCATTACAGAAGACCTAATTTCAAGGCTTATTGGTTACAATGGTGGAGGTGTTAGATGTGTTGACATGGCTAAAAGATGCTCTGATGTAGCTTCTATTGCAAGGGAAATATTTACTCTTGGTCTTCCCTCCAGCAAGATTAGAGATCTGAAGGATCATCATAGAATTTGGGCTAAAATAATTCTGGGATGTATCAACCACAGGAAGCCAACTAGCTCTCCTGATTACATAAACATTGATCAACAGTTTCTGATCTAATTCGTTGCCAAGAAGACTAAGGTAAACCTCCCACATTTGTTGTTTAATCATCTGAGAACGAGTGTAAAGGAAACAAGAGAAGATGAACGTACCAAAAGGGACTGGATACCCCTAGGAAGACTCATATCAGATATTCTGATAGAGAATAGACTGATAGAGCATTTGACTGAAGCTCAGGAAATCAGCTCACTGGAAGCAATTGCTGGGAAGCCTCTGAACGCAAAAAATCTGAAGAAGATGAAAATCATTGAGAATATCAAGAAGGAACCCAACGTTACTTCTTTTGCAACCATCACTTCAAGAAGAATTCCTCTGGATGATTTTCCTCTTTTCTTTGAGATTGACTCCAAGCCAGAGATAATTGTCAGATATATGGATGCGTGTAAGGCAGATGGCACTGCACCAGAAATAAATATCCAGGACTTGCATCAGGCTGCTCCAGAAGTTATTCTGAAGAAGACCAAGAAAAGGAAAGCTGCAACAGAAGGATCATCCCAGAGGACTCTAAAAGCTGCCAAAAAGAAAGGTAATCCTTCCTCTGTTCCTGTTTTAGAATCAATTAATTTATCAACATCTGAAACCATAACTACTCAACCAGAACATCCCACCCCAAAAAACAATTGAAGACTTTGACATAGGGTTTGATCCATCAGAAACTCTAGGTCTGAATGAAACTCACTCTCTTTCTCATAATCCAAACCCTGAACAAACTCAACCAGAACTTGCCAAAGTTCTGTTTGATATTGATTCATTTGACCAAGAATTTTCAGCTCCCACACCATAAAATCCAAATCCTCAACTCCCAGATAATCCAAACTCTGAAACTACATCAGATATTCCACAACCTCTCTCTCCATAACAAGATATTCCTCATTCACCATCACCCCAACCCGAACAATAACAACCAGAAGCTCAACCTTCTGAGAATCAATCCTCTGATATCCATGAACCAGAACATCACCATGTTTCAACAAACCAATATGAAGAATCTCATTCAGATTCTGATACAATCCCGATACCTGAAATCAATGAACCACTTGCCATTCGCATGCCTCTCACCATCCACGACATTCCACAAATTCCTTCTTCTCTGGAATCCACACCACCAAACTCTCATACCAGTCCAATCATCATACCTGACTCTCCCACTCCTTCACCCAATAGCAATCCAGCTGACAACGTAAGACTTATCATTGATCCAATTGCGCTGGAAAGACTAGATGCTATCTCTCACAAAACTGCCATTCCCAAACCAAAACCAACTGAAACCACATCAAATGTTGGTACAAATTTGTTGATTTTTGAAACAGGGGTACATGAATGGATAAATTCCTTGAGGCGTGCTAGTATAGAGATGACTAATCCTGCTGCTTCTGATTATATATGGACAAGATTCAGAAACACTAAAGCTAAAGGAACAGAGCTATGAACAGGTTCAACGGAATTTCAGTGCTAAGCTAAAGGTTTTTGAAGACCAAGTTCTGAGCCATCTGCTCAAGAAGTATATTCTCCCTCTGGATAATGCTCCCTAGTCAGAACATCATCCCTCAGATAAAGTTCAACCAGAATCAGAAGGTCTCTCCCTGACCGCTGCTCCAGAAGAGATGATCACCGTAGAGGAAATAGTTCCCTGTGATCAAACTGTAGAATGCTCTGAGAAGCGTCCAGATACTGAAGAATCTCCAGCACCTTCCTCAGTCATGCAAACTCTGGAAGAATTGAAGAGAGCAAATGCTATTATCCAGGAAAGGTTGGATAAGCAGGATGACACAAACAAAGAGATCAAGAGCATCTTGGGAAAACAAGAAGAATCTAATACCCAGATCAACAGCTTGCTGGAAGCTTTGTTCACACATCTTCCTCTTCCCTCTTAGATTCTTTTCTGTTTTAAATCTGTTTATTTGTAACGTTTTTTTACCACTTCTGTTTTAGAACTTATCATTGCTTCTTGTTTTTAATATAACTCAACTATTTTGGCTCTGATTATATTGCCTTTTTGATAACTGACAAAAAGGGGGAGAAAGTAAGATATTTTCAATAACGGTTTACTGAGACAGAAGTCTCAAACATTCTGGACTACTTAACCTCTATCTTCTGAAAAGCTTGAACAGGTAAAAACTCTGATGAAAGATAAAGTTAAACTCTGATCTGATGCTCGAGGAACTTAAGGGAAGTAATCAATTCAGGGGGAGTTTCTTCTAAGCTTTTTATTCTTTATTTTTAAATTGAAAAATCTAGTTTTTGTCATCATCAAAAAGGGGGAGATTGTTAGAACATAGTTTGATTCTACAATCCTTGGTTAGAGTTTTGATGATAAAAAATGCAAAGAATAATTTATAAAATACAAAGAACAAATATGCACCTTAAAAATTATGTTTTATGTATGCAGAAGTTCTGATCATATCAGCATCAGAAGATAAGCTATAAGTGTTACACGCTGAATCAATCAGAACATACGCTAAAGATTGATGACCAAAACCTGCACTTAATCAAAGTAAACTCTGACTCTGAACAAGAACATATCAATCCAAGTCATCAATATTATGAAGCGTCATCAGCAGTAAGGAGATAAGATTCTGAAGCGTTACTGATCATTCAACACAGCATCAATTCCAACGGCTTCTTTCAGACAGGATCTTCTCCAAAAGGAAAGTGTGTTAATGACATTAAACATGCTTTATGATTAACGTCATTCCACTACCTATATAAACAAAGTCAGCTTTCAAAATCAAATAACAATTTTGCTAGATAACCACTCACGCATATTCAAAGCTGCAAGCAATTTCATTTTACTTTTCTAAGCTATAAATCTGTGTAATTTATCACTATTGTGATAAATAGTTTTTGTTAGAAAAACAACAACACATATTGTATAATTATATTGAAAAAGTGTTCCTTGAGATTAACTGGACTGTGGTTGTACTCAAGAAGACTTTAACAGTTGTTAAACTAAATTTTGTAATCTTGTTGAGATTAGTGGATTAAGACCTCGTTGGAGAGAGGAGAAATCACCTTGACGGGTGGACTGGAGTAGTTTGAGATCAAACGAATCAAGATAAAAATACTGTGTCATTAAGCTTTTTAGATTCAAGTTCTCAATTCAACCCCCCCCCCTCTTGTGTTTTTCACATCTTCAAATAGCTCCCAGGAGGTCTTGACGGTCACCCTCCTCGTTGTGTAGATGCCCACGTCTCCGAATACCCCAGAGTCATCTTGACCCCAAAAATACCGCAACCACGTCCTCCTAGTAATTTAGAGCAGTTCACTCAGGAGGGAGACCACATGTTGGTCTCTACTACTCACGTAGACCCTCACTTGAGAGGGCCAAGTATTCATTCATTCTACCTCACCTACTTTACTTGCTCTTGTTCTGAACCACACTTTGACATCGGAGTATCTTGCATGTATCCCTCCGCTTCACATTCAACCGCTACTCACCTTGAAGCTCGTGGGCCTTGACGGTGTCTTTTGATAAGATACAATCAAATCCTTTAGCTCATTCTTTAAAATATGGTGCATGTGCCTTTCTCTAAATATATTTGTTTTTTTAATAAATAAATGAAAATTTAATAAAACGAATAATATCGTTGGTTGTTTATTAAAGGGAGATAATAATAAAAAGTTAAATGAGGGGATATAGTGTGTAAATTAAGAATGATAAAATAGGCAGCCTGCTTCGTCCTAAACCTTTAAAAAAATAGTGGAACAGACAAATCTACCAAATAAAAATTTAACTCGTTCCACCAAATTGACGAGTTGACGGGCTTACCTGCTTATTTTTTATTTATTTATTTTTAATTTTTTAATATATATTAAAAGGCTTTTTTTACATTTCAATTATATTTTTTATTTATATTTTAGAACAATTTTTTATAAAACATTTTTTAAACAAAATTTGGTTAAAAAATATTGCATATATTCGCAAATAAATATATAAAATAAAACCATAATTAACTAAAAAAATGGCGGGATTAAAGTGGGATAAGCTGAATGAGTAGGTATGGGTTTTGGCGGGCGATAGATTTTTGCGGACGTACTTTGACGTACGGAGGTCTTTAGTGGGGAGGACTTTAGTGGATGGGGGGGGGGGGTCCAAATCCCAATCCAACCTACTATTTTTTGACGGATAGATAGACCGGTTCAGTAAACCACGACCCGATTTACCACCCCTAGTGTAGATAATGCAAAGTGGTAACAACAAGTAGATCAATTTAAAATTAGATAAACATGCAAAATTAGGTATGATATAGAATTTGAAAGGTTCTAAACACAAAAACTACCATGCGAAATTATGAACTTCTAAAGATGTCAATTGGAACTTGACGACATTTAAATCTATTCAAATTTAGCTATAACTCTATGGTCTCCAACTCTCACATCCCAACAATTCAGAATCCAAATCTCTCTCTTCAAATCCTTTTGCATTCAACAAGTCTCTTTCTATGTCAAAGTTTACTTTAGCTGCAACCAACTTTGCCTTTAGCCTTTCTGTTTCAAGCTCTAGAGCTACCACATTCTCCTTTAGCTTTTCTACTTCCACTGCTTTCTCCCTATAACTTTTAGATCCTAAAGCAGATCCAACATGAGGCTCTAACTAAGTCAGATCAAATCTATATTTTTTTAAGGTCCTCCCATAAAACTTGAATATCCTTACAAGTTTGGTCATTCATGTCCTTCACTTTTCTAGTCTTAAGGAAACAAAGAACTCTCCCCAATGCAGAAAATTCCAAATCAGCGAACTTGTGCTTTCTATTTGGCGGGGGCTCATTGATTGAAGAAGAACACATTTCTTGTTGGTGTCCTACGCTACTGAAATCCATAAGTTCTCCTCTTGAGGGTGAGAACAACTCTGCATCAGTGTGTTTTTTAGGTTCAATGCAAGCTATGGTAGAAACTGGTAAACAAGTTACCAAATTCGAGTCTTGAACATCTGGATTTTGCCTTGGGACTCCAACTTCTTCATGGCTTGTTTGACTATTTGAGGTTATGGAAACAGTTACCTTAGCAACTTGATTCACTTGATTCTCATTTGTTGACTTACTAACAAAAATCTCAGCACCAACAATATAAACACCCTTCACAATACATCCTTTTTCAGGACCATGTAGCTCAACAAAAGGCATGAAAGTAGAGTAACCTCAGTTCAAGTGATGTTCATCGAATTCGTGGAGGGTTGATTCTAGCAAATTTATGTATGAAGAATCAATTTAGTTGTGTCAAATAAGAAAGGAAATATACAATCAAAGGTTGAGAAGACGCTACTCTATTTTGGTTGCCTCTATTATTTCCCCCCGGCGCAGATCCTTATAAAGGAGAGTTCAAATTTTAAACATTATCTGACACCACTGTGTATTCGATGTCGACTGATATCATGGCATCATGGAATACGAAATTCCATAAGCAGGATCTACATTACCAAAACGAGGCACATTAGGTATGGTAGTCGTAGTCATTACTGGTCTTGGGCTTCCCGGTGGAGCCTGAGACATTTGTACGGAAACTGCAGCAGTCGACCCTACTGGAGAAAAACGTGCTACTTGTGAAACTACTGAATCAGTAGTGATTAAAGTTCGTGACGGTATTTCGTCTACGTTTGGATTATCAGAAATTATCATTCTTGTATCTGCTTCTTAGATAATGATTTATTATACTCTTTGGTTAACTTCCCATTTCTAAGTCACATTCACTTATAAATACTTAAGACTAATTCTTAGCATTGGGTCCCACCAGGTGTGCCAATTTATTTACTGTGGAAAATGGTAAACAATCGCTGGTCCTTCCAGAGTCCTAAACTGAGAGTAACTTGCGAGATCGACCACTTGATCTCAAGACGCGTGCTAAGAGTGTTTACTATCACACCTATTCCGTCGAAATATTAGTCAAGGGAAACGATTTTCTTTTGACTGGGAAAACAGGTGTAACGGTTTTCCACACTATGATTTAATCGACTAACTGGTGACTCGTGATCGACAGAAGATATTCATACAAAAAGTGAGACTCACTAAACTAACTGACTGGTGACTCGTGACCAACAGATAGTGTCGAATTATTTATCTGAAATAGAAGATAACGTATAGATCTTGCTCGACAGTAAAGAGAAAACAGATAAAGTACTCAAAAGATATAATTGAAAGATAAATGATTTGCATTGAAATAAAAATAGTGATTCACGTACATCAAACACTCTTCACTCTTGATTTCCTGACGCTCAGAATGATAGAGTTTAACAAGTGATTTGAGAGTGCAAGTGAACACCAGCAAACTATATAAAATTTGCCTATTTATAGTGTTTACAAAGTAACTACCTAGATAAAATCTACGGCTAATATTAACATCTTGATGTAACTGCTTCACTAGATGTTGCCAGCTATTTGGCGCTCAAACACATCGTGGATTGCTGGTAACTGCTCATGATTTTGAAATTCCACCTATTTGGCGCTTGAACACGTCGTGGGTTGATGGTAACTGCCCACGACTCCTCTAAGCCTCTTGAACGTAAACCGCTTCTGCCTTGCTTCGACACTTTCTTTCTGGCAAAGAATGATCACACTTCCTCTAAGTCCAAGAAACTTTCCTCTAAGTCTAAGAAACTTTTTTTTGTCGACTAAAATCATTTTCGACCAAGTCCTTGTCTTTTTCCCATTGGTTGACTAAACCAATTTTAACCTCCTGACATATGACTCTTAGCTTAGGAGAATGTCTTCATTTACCACATGTATTTGAATACCTTAAGATTTTCCAAGATAACAATTATTCAATAAAATATTTGTAAAAATCAAACCAATCGGACCGAACCAAACTGCATTAGTTTGGTTTAGTTTTTTTTCTTCTAAAAATCAACTAAATCAAACCAAATCACACTTTAAATAATTTTTAGCGTCAAAATCGTCTAAACCGCACTGCGAACATCCTTATTAGATTCTATACCCAATCTTAGCTAACTTCTTTAAGTGTGCTCTAAACTATTGATCATTGATAGCTTTAACGGTAACAAAGAAAAACAATGGGCTAATAACACTTGTTTGCATTTTCCAATTCATAAAAGTTATTTTTTTATATACTTGGTATTTTACAATAAATCTAATTGTAATATTTAAAAAAATAAACGTCGGGTATAGCGCTTTGTTATATAAGAATAAGTTAAAAGTAAGTGAGTTGAGACTTGAGACCTAACACCTTTGTACTTAGTTGAAAACTGAAATTCACTAGCATTATCAACTCATGATACAAGAAATATATTGAGAAACTTTAAAACCAAAAATTACTGAAGGATAGTCCGGTAGAAAATCAGTTCAATATAATAAGTCTAATGACACAAAACATCTAGGCATTCATTGAAATCAATCCAAGTTTAGCTATAAAATCTATGACTTCCAACTTCCAATACTCAATTCAGAATTCAAATCTCTTTCTTTGATACCTCCAGCTTTCAACAAGTCTCTTTCTATCTCAAGATTTATCTCCGCAGCAGCCAATTTTGCCTTTAGCGTCTCTATTTTCAGCTCTTGAACTGCAACATTACCTTTCAATTTTTCAACCTCCAGAGCTTTCTCCACATAACTTCTAATTCTTAAAGCAGATTGAACTTGTGGTTCTAGCCAAGTAAGATCAAATTTTGTTTTGTCAAGTTCATCCCATAAAACTTGAAGTTTTTTACATGCTTGTTCGTTCAGGTCTTTCACTTTTATAGTGTTAAGGAAATATATAACTTTCCCCATTGCAGCATACCCCAACTCTGCGTCAGCTGGTTTAGAAGTTTCAATGCAAGCTAAATTAGAAACTGTTGAAAGAGTTTCCTGATTTGTGATTTTTGGCTCTGGAATTTGGACTTCCATGTGACCAGTTTGACTTTCAAAATTTACTGGTTTCTCGTTCGTTGATTCAGAAACAAATACTTCAGCACCAAAAATACAAGCATCCTTCACAATATAACCCTTCGCAGGATCATGGAGCTCAGTTAACCTAATGAAAGACTTAAATCCCCAGCCATTGTAATGTGCGCTGAATTCACGGCTAGTTTCTGGAAAATTTGTATATCAAAAGTCAATTTAGTTTTTGTGTGGAAAAAAGAAGAATGAAGCATGCCATTATTATTAATATATACAAAACCTGAACAAAATTTTAATGAATGTTAAACTCTTTCTACTTCATTCAGAAAAGGGCACTTACTAAAAAATACCTTCTGAGATCTTCTCGCTCGTATCGAGTTGATTGATTAGAAGTAGTTTAAATTTGACATCTCTGTCCCATCCCTCAGACATATTGGCAGTATGCATAACCTCCAAATAAATAGATAAGACGTTCTTTACTTTGTCCCCTTTTGGAAACAGTTTAATCCTCCTATAGCAAAAAGATAAAAACACGATAATGTAAATGGTGTAAAAGAGCACAAACTCAACATTTATTCATTCAGATATCATACCATGGATAGCCGCCCAGGACAAAAGGCTCTGAGCAAACCGTATTTTTCAAGCGAGAGAAGTTTTCAACCTTCCATGTAAATTTCTCATATTGCTCAACACTGGACTGTTTATGTTCCATAACTGCAAACTCTGCCAAAACACAAAAACAAAACCATGATTTTAACGTAAGAGATGAAATATGGGATGGAGAGTTGATGAAAAGCATTTGAGAAACAACTGTAAGAAAGCATTACTAAAATCAACAAAAATATCTGTCGTAAAGTACTGATCAAATAAGAACAGAGTACATAATAAAGTTTAGTGCGTATATAGGAGAATAACAACACAGAAATTTGAGCTCTTTACCTGTTACAGATAAGAATATGATCAAATGTAAGTAAGTAGTCGAAGCCCGGCACAGATGCTTATATAAAGAGGGAGAGATGGTTTTTTATGAATAGAGTAGCGTAAATAGCAGCATGATTATATCCCGAAGATGGCACAACTTACAAAACAATGAACAAACTTTATTTTAAGTTCATTAATGCATTTCATTTACTTTTTTTTTTTTTTTTTTTTTGCTTTTAGATACCTACGAGAAGCCTAAACGTCCCTCTAATTGCTTGTCTGTCATAATAAAAGACTTTCCAATTAGTGTTATGTGTAACTGTAAGATATGAGAAGCCTAAAAGTCCCTCTAATGAAGTTAGTGGAGGGTTAATTTTGTCTTCTAAGTATAGGCCGAAATAATTAATTGCTGGTCATCATAAAATGGTTTGATTGGACGGAAAAAAGAATATTTGTTACAAATCATAAATATTTTGTTTTAGTTTAAATTCATGTTATCAATTTGTGCTAATGCACTACATTATGCTTTTAACACATTAGTGAGGTTTCTCAGATTCCAACTACACTGAAGATGGAAAAGGCTTGCAACCCATTTCTTCGCACATGGAGCACAGAAATCCGACAAAAACTAAATGTTGCAGTCATAGCGGATGAAGCAAAAGCCCTTGGTGTTATTCGACAAGCAGAGGATGATTTTTAGATTTTTTTTTTAATACAATATTTCATTTATTATGTATAGATTAGATTCATGCAAACTACCTATGAAATTTATTCGCTACATATATTTTGGAATTTGCCTACAACATCAACCAAGATGTTGTTTCATTTATACATGTAACTGTTGGAATAATATAGCAAATATGCGTAAGTGGGAAAATAGTCTCACATTGGATAGGAATGTGGAGACTTAAGCATATATAAATGGGAGAACCCACTCACCTATCACCTTAAAGTTTTAGGTGGATAAGTGGTGCGTCTCACAAATGTGCTTATTCCTACACTATGTATCGATGCTCCTAGTATCTCCCCCCAACATGGTATCACGAACCTTTGGTTCGAGAAAGGGACCAGAAGGAACTTGTATCGAAATTCGCCCAAGAAGTGGTGCGGTACAAGTGAGGGAGCATTGTGGACTCACACTTGAGGGGGAGTGTTGGAATATAAGTGGGAGAATCCACTCACTTATCACCTTAAGGAGTGTGAGGGGGAGTGTTGGAATAATATAGCAAGTGTGAGTAAGTGGGAAAATAGTCTCATATTGAATAGGAATATGGAGACTTAAACATATACAAGTGGGAGAACCCACTCACCTATCACCTTAAAGTTTTAGGTGGATAAGTGGTGTGTCTCTCACAAAAGTGCTTATTCCTACACTATGTATAAATGCTCCTAGTATCTCCCCCAACAGTAACATGATTCTGGAATTTGCACGTTGATATCATGCATTTCACAATCTTTTTATAAACTTATGTCTAATTTTAGATTTATGCTTGCTCATGACCTGCATCCATTTGTGCTCTATGATAACAAAGGGAAACTTGCGGGAGTTAGACAATCTAATTCAAAGCTCCCAATCAACATTGATGGCTCAGAAATTATCATTGTTGATGCAATAGGGAGCAGTGGCTTGAATTCGAACTTATTAGCTTAAGCTAAATTTGGTTATTTTCCTTTATTGTAATAGTTTTTCTTAAGAGAATATTGATTTCACTAAACTAGCTTGGATCCACCATTGGTTGTTATGGTCTAAATATCTATCATGTGTTCAGTTTACAAGTAGCTCTCCTTCTGATAAGGCATGAAGCTCTTCTTGGTAATTAATGTACTTACCTGTCTTATTACATAATTTTTTGGATCTTATAACTGAATTGAAAAGCTATTAAAAGTGTTTTAACATTAACTTTACAACACTCTTATACAAATTCCCAAGTTACTATTAAATTGTAATTCAGTGTGTCGAAACTATGTGTCGAAAAGATTTGATTTGTTTTAGATTTAAATAGATTTGATTTAAGTCTAGAATAAATTAGATTTGATTTAGTAACAAAAAGATATTTTGGGATTTGGGCTTAGGGTGTAAGCTCAGTTATAAATAGAGGGAGTAACCCCTATTTTTGTAAGCAAATCAAGCAAGTTGTATTCACAGAATTTGCAGTTGCAAGTTGTGATACGGTGGGAGAACTGACTTGAGGTTTTGCGTTTGTGTTTGCAAAATATCGCGGTTAGCAAGAGTCGCCACCGACTTTTATTTTATCCAAAAGGAAAGGTAAAAAGGCACAGGAAAGACCTTTGAGATGTTTTCTTGAGTTCGAGGGGTAGATTATGAAAAGGGAAGGTGCTAGCACCCTTTTCATCCATAGTTTTCCATGGGCTCTTAGTTACTTGCTTAGATCACTTGCTTTGTTTTTGTTTGAAATGGTGTTTGGTGTGATTTTGAAAAGTATTTGTAAAAGGGGCCTTTGTTTAGGCAATCTTTGTAATGATTCTCGTTCGTAAGAATGTATACAAAGATGTTTGTCTTTTTTGAAGATGTTTTCAATGTTTTGAAATGTTTTTGAAATGTGTGAGTGCTTGTTTTTGAAAATAACAAGGACTGTTTTGAAATGGAACAAGTAACTTAGAAGCTATCTACCTACTCAAATGTCTTTCTTATGCAATTTCATTCCTTTGACATGGTTGACTTACCATTGATTTGGTAAGCAACCCTATCTTTGGATGTTTAACGGGACGGGCGCGGGTCATCGTATAACCATGATAGCAATGTTACTAAGTATCTTGGCATTTTTTTGAGGGACCAAGATCATTTGTTTAGGCAACCTTTGTATAGCGTCATCGAGGGACTATGATCTTATTTTGTTTTGTTTTGCCAAGATACTTCGCATGCGTAACATGACCATTTTTGTTTTAGGCAACCAAGTGGGTGAAACCCTAAGGGTGCTTGTGTGCAATGTGTGTCATTTTTCATGCATTTGATTTGTCTTGTATTAGGTCTTTTCTATTTGTTTTATTTTTGGTTTTGTCATGCAAACCCTAGTTTAGTAAACATGGTATAAATGCGGTAAATTGCGTAAATGTAAACTAAGCTATTACAACAATTATTATGGGAGAGGGGATACAAGTTTTTGAATAGGGATATTGCATAAAATAATCCTAAATATATTTATTACAACCCAATCGAATATTGTGCGAATTAAATAAACATACAAATATTAAAATGCAATGCAAATGTATTTATGCTAAAAATGTTTTGTATTTGTTTAATGTATGAGAAAATAAATTAATTCAAACCCTAATCATAAGGAAAAATATTATTTATTTTATGGAAGGGTGAAACCCTAATTTCTAATTAAAAGAAAATATATGTTCTATATTATTATTTTGTCCATTTTTTGTATAAGAAAATAATAAATAATATTATATGTAAATATTAAAAATTAAATATGTATGAAAATAAATATTTTATGTGTATAAATAATATAATAAAAATGTATTGTATTTTTAAAATGTATTTACAAATTTATTTAAGAAAATAAAATCTATTATCCTAATAAACTATTTTTTATGCAAAAGAAATAATAAACAAAATAAAATAAAAATGTAAAAAATAAAGAAATTATTTTTTATGATTTTTATGATTCAGAAAAATAAATAAAAGCCATCAAATATGAAAATATAAAATAAATACAAAAATATAACAAAGTTAGTCAATGGGGTGTAGCAGTAATTCAGGAGGTGTGAAAAGTATAAACAAAAAGCCCAATGCAACAAAAAAGCCCAGAACAACAACTTCGTCCCTGTCCTTCAGCTTCTGCGCGCGCTAGTTCAATCTTGCAACTTTCACATGCTTGCACAAAAACAAAAACTTATAACATGAAACATGTGGCATTTGAGCTCACGATTTCAACAATATAAATTTTGTAATCTAACTCTCAAAGATCAGGGAGAATTTTGGCATCCCCAATTCGTGACCTAAAATTTTTATGAACTTCAAGCTTCAAATTCTCATAGCATAGTTAATATAAATGAAAAGTATGCATATGTACAGCTTCACCATGTTATGGACTACATTTTTTCTTCACAAATCGTGGCTTGAAGTTGCCTAAATACAGAGATAGAGTTTAAGAAATATACCTCCTTCAGCTGGATTTGGATATGACAATGTGGGGACTTTGAGGGAGGTCTGAGGATTGTTTAAGCTTCCTTGAACTTCCCTGAACCTAATCCAATGCTTACTTTGCTTTGAGGATGGCTGGATCTCTCTGCACGAGTCAAGCTGCAAGATTCAAGTTTGAAAATGGCAATGGCTGAAACAAGGGTTACAGAACCAGGGTAAGGGCTTGGATAGCTTTGGTATGATATGTATGAGGTGTTTCAAGTGTCAAGCCACAAAACGCACGAGCCAAAAATGAGTTTGCTATGGTTTTGCAGAAATCTGTATGTTTGGCAGAATTTTGGAGTTTTTGAGTTTGGGTGATTTCTAGATGTTAAGAAATCGTGCTATTCCTTGCCAAAGGTTTGTATATTTGTATAGAACTGATACAAAGTCCACTCCTTGCTAGCTGTACAAGCCTTTGGACTTTTTGCAACCTTTCTTGCTTTTGAAGAAAAGTGAAGTGACCATACTAAACATGCCTGTCCTTGCTTGCTTGAGAGCTGAAACGCACTTGTACAAATTGCTTTAGTTCTGTGTAATTTGCTTGCATCAAAGAGACAGGTCCAAGGCTCAAGATTGATAAAGTTACAAAAGCTTCCCTTTATGAAAATGGCATTGTAACCTTTTGGCCAAAAATG